TTGTTTTTCTCGAACGTTCAAAATATTTATTAATTCCCTTATATGATCTCCTATGCCTCTGCTATGTCAAATCATTTGATAACTGAACCACTTAATAATTTTTCTATATTAATGTTGACACCGACGAGTACATATAAACCGCTGTATAGGAAAAATCTAGACTAGATCGCAAAAGCGCAACTTATCTTATTTAGTTATCGTCTTTTCAAAGTTCCGTGTGTTTTATTATGTTGAGCAAGAAAAAGCTACAAAAGCCATGACATTGTTGTAAATCTCATGAAGCTTTAAATATTTGGACCAATCACGAGACCATTTTGTTTGCCTTCGATTCAAATTGTGTCATTTTGACCAGAAAACCAAACGTAGGGCTTACATAATATTGCACAATAATAAAATAATGATAGTTTACGGTGGTAGGGCCATGCAGCAACCTCGGCTGTTGCAAGAATGGGCAAGCCCGTCCGGGTAGGTACCACGACCTCACAGAAGACCAGCGTAAAGTGGAAGTATGACAAATACTTTCGCGTTTCGTTTGGTGAGTGAGGTAGCCGGAGCCCAATTTTCAACATGCTGTCAACGCATCTGTAATCCTCGGGTGTAGCAATGTCCATGGGCGGCGGTATTCACTCACCATCAGGTGAACCGTCTGCTCGTTTGGCAACTTTTCGCATAAAAAAAAAGTTTTATATCTTTGACTATATTTTACTAGTTGTGGTAGATTAATATACACAATATTATTTCACCCAAACCCGTGAGTTCTGGCTAGCCCACCGGTTCTGCGTCAGATGAAGCTTTAATAGTCTCGGGACTGAAAGCAAAAACATCAGTTAATACAAAAAAAAAAATACAAAAATATTATTTCATCTCCATGAATGATGATGAAACATTCGATTTTAGTACCAATTAAGTTTTTTCTTTTCGAATAAAGTAGCATAGGATAGCGGTACACAGGACGTTAAATGATATATTTTGAAACATTGCGGTTACTGTAGGGCATCAGTGTTGTAAGGACCAACATCCAGATCCGAAACAACTGTATGTCACTCTAATAACTGTCCCGTATTTGGCTATACGGGACAGTTATTAGATTATTATTACTTCCCTAGGGTTGCTAATCATAATAATAGGGGCCCGCAATCGCTCATTCACCTAATGAAATACAAATGTAAATACATCTGCGCCTTTCTGCAAATTTTAATCGCATCTAAATTCAGGGAACAACACTATAACTAAGGGGTACTTCGGTTAGGGCCGAGGCGGCAACAGAGCTGAAGTAAGTAAATGGCGCAAATATAAGTTGTTATGTTCAGATTATATATTTGTGCCATTTGCTGTTGAAACTTTAGGTCCGAGCACATTTTTGAAAAGTTAATGTCCTAGGCTTAACGCCGCGGCTGGTGATAAGACAGCTGGTCTGCGAGGAAATGCAGCTAGCGTTCTTGGCACCATGCCGCGTGCATTAGGTTTATTAGATAATATGTAATTTTAGATAGATTTAATCTTGTAAATATTAGATAAATAAAAATTGATTTAAAACGAAAAAGTAAGCGAAAAATGACACTATAAAAATTAGTATCATTTTTGCAAAGGTGACATCTGTAATTTCAAATATTTCGTTCTGAATGTCACATGAAAAAGTGGTCATATGCTCTAAAGGATGGCGATGAACTAGATGGCGCCAAGCATTGCTTAAAATGGAGAAACAAAAAAGTTGATAAATACGTTGAGATTTTCGTCGATGTGAAGATAAACCGGACGGAGGTTCAAATCCTCGCAGCGACGATGAACGTTTCTTACATTTTTCTACAAATTTTAAAACATATTCCATCGAGCTTCTGTGAGGTGTACTTACTCGGACGAATCAGCATGGCTCTGCCACAGTAAACCTTCACTTTTTTATTCATTAATATCCAACCTATACATTTATATAAATTGAACCAAATTTTATTGAAGTCAAATTATTTAATCAAATCGATTATTTAGACTAATAAGTCAAGACTGTAAGTCATACTTGTAAGTCTTACTGTGATTTGTAAATAGGATAATAATAACAAAAAAGAAAAATAGTCAATGCAATGCAGGTGACTTGGGATCGTACTTCGTGGCAGTCATGGAGGAGGCATATTGTGTCCAGCAATGGAAAGTGTTGAAATGATGATTGGAATTGGAGTGTTTGTTTGTAACATTAAAATAACAATTTTTTACTAAATGCATATGGTGTGTTGCCAGTGATGAACTACGGAACCGAGACGTGGTCCTTCACTGCTGGCCGTATGAGGAAGCTCAAAGTCGTTCAGCGAGCTATGGAGCGGGTTATGCTCGGTATTTCTCTGCGTCATAGAGTTCGTAACGAAGACATCCGCAGTAGAACTAAGATAACCGACATAGCTCAGGGGATTAGCAAGCTGAAGTGGCGATGGACCGGCCATATAGCTCGTAGAACCGATAACCGTTGGGGAAGAAAGGTTCTCGAGTGGCCGCCTCATACTGGCCATCGCAGTGTAAGACGACCCATCCTCTAGATGGAGTGACGACCTGTGCAAATGTGCGGGAAGTCGATGGATGCAGGTGACTCAGGATCGTATTGGCAGTCTATGGGGGAGGCCTATGTTCAGCAGTGGACTCAAACAGACTGAAATGATGATGATATGGTTGTATACATGGTAAATAACTTCACTTAACTGCATTGGGAGCAGTGCATAGCTCAACAGGATTAACGCTGTTATGTTGCTAAATATGTAGATTGTAAGTAATTTTTTAAACACACCTCTGTAAGCTATGCCTTATGAAATAAATATAAAATGTAAATATTTCTAGCCCTGTCTTATGATAGAAAAATTATCGTATACATATGCAAACCTAATAAATAAAAAAAACTTCGATATTAGAAAAAAAAAATATTTTAACTTCAATAAATATAATCATGAACCTATTACAACCCTTTTGTTTTAAAAACTACCCATCATGTAGGATCCTGTTCTAGAGGCGTTTTACAAACACAAATAAACAAGGACTTAGATCCCGGATTTTTATCCGTAGGTACGTTGTAAGTACATAATAATTATAACGATCCTGGGTGGAAATCGAACACACGATCCGTGGCGACTGTCTCTAACAACTATGCCGACAGAGTTATATTTTTAAAATGAAAATATGAATAAGATAATAGGTTAATCTATTACAACTATAACGAGCTGGATATGGAAAGTATTTTCTACTATTACTTTGAGTTCTAAGTTGTACAAGAAATAAGTAAGAATATCGTAATTCAGACAGATATGTAGATATAACACGCAAGAGTTTAAAAACGAGATGGTTCGTTTTTTAAATTGTTAATTTATTATACACTAAACTTATTTGAATAAAGTTATCCCATCACTTACTTACGTAGGTTTTCATTCTATGATTGTCGGATGGGAGAACAAGGGAAAATTAATACGCAATATTCTAAAATAAAACAACTGAATCTATTGTGACTCATGTTTACAACCACTCACAAATGCAACTTTAAAAAGTTTTAAAGCGATAATAAAACAAACAAAAAGTATAATGTCTCCGGACTCATGGCATAACATTAATAATAATAATTTTACACGTAACTTAGCTCGTTTATATAAATACATTATTTATCATGCACAGTGGAGCAGTTATATGAACGTGACAAAATCAACACATTCTATTTCTTCTATCTCCGATCGTAAACGATAAATATTATTATACCCATCCCAAGACACTCACTCGAGCTGTTTTCAGAAATAATAATTCTATTGGCCCTTTGTATTCGCGTGTAAAAAGGCTTGAACTTTACAGATGATCTACCAAGAAGTTTTTAGTTCACTATCAAAAACTCTACTGTTTTTGGGCCTTAATAAAATTACCTTTGTTCCTATATTATATTAGTTACAGTAAATGATTAGGCACTTATTATATAGGAATTATTTCATTCATTTAACCTTGATCGCAAAGCGTCTGTACCGATCACCTAAATTGTATATAAATAATTGTAGAATAGCAGATCTTCAGTGATATAATTTAGGATTTAATTAACCCTACATTAAAATAGCTGTTAACTATTTATATGTAATGGAAACTAAATGCCTTTTTGCTTAGAAGCTTAAGATCATATCTTCTTTTCAAAAAGAATTTCGATGATTTTTCCTCTTTGTAACATTATAATGACTAATAATGATATCAATTTTAAAAATGGGAAGCAATATATAAATTGTACTTATGCATAAAATATAAATATTTGTTACATAATGTTCAATATTTGTAATGTTATTTGAATTTTTCGCAAATTTAAGCATATTAATATATTAGTCTAATTAGTCTAAATGCTACATAAATATATATAAAATAATCAACTTCACAAACTTTTGGACGGTGCCTTTTAATAGTTATTGTTACCTAAATTAACTAGAATTTCATTATTAACATACATAAGGGCGTACTGTATTAACAACGTACTGTATTGTGCAATTGATTTTCTTATAGTGAAATATTTATATATTATGGTTGTGATGTAGGACATCTACTAACACTCGCAATATGATCAGTCGTTTCATATTAGCATTTAATGCTTGAAATGAATTGATGAGTTCCTTCAGTTGTTAGTTGTAGTAGTCGATAAGAAAAAGTTAAAATTTATTCGAAAAGTTATTTTATATTTTGATTTTAAGAAAAAATAAAGTATTATTTATCCACCAAAAACAGTAAACATTGGTTTATAAATGCACCAAAAAAATATACATATCAGTTTTACGCGATGACTAAGTCTCTCCGTCCCAATTGCAATGGATAATAAAAAAAGTACAATAAGTCTATGAAACGACATAGACACGGGAATATATTTTGAAGTTTTCTGAATGGAACGATGATTAGTTTTTTTATATGTGCTCACAAGAGACACGGAATAAGGCACATTAATGCTAAGCGATTGCATCGACAAAGATTGTTATTCACACTTAAATGTTCCACATTTTGTTTAAGCCTTAGTCTTACTTTACACGCATAGAACGCTGCTTGTTCATATTGGCGAGCATGAGGGAAATGTAGGACGTCAAAAGGTCGTCCATCTTGTAGCCCAGTGAGGTCTCGCAGAGCAGCTTCGAGCCCCTGACGAGGTTACCGATCGTCATGTGGAAGTAAGTGTTGCCGGACGACCAGTTAGAGATTCTGGTGAAGGGGTGCGTGACCAGTATTTCCTGCAAATTGAGAATTGGGCCGTTTGTGTTTCGTATGTTGTTTGGAAGGGGTTGCGTAGGTAAGTCTCAACGAATAGTCGATTAGCGACCTGGAAAGATCTATTTTAATTTTTCCTTTGAAAATATTACGCCCTTACGGACGGTACGGACGGTTTACGTACGTAAATTTCACGTGAACAAACCCCCCAATTCGATACAATTTTTCGCTTTCGCTCTTTTTTCGATATCGGTAGTTATATTTTAAGGATCAAGAAGTAAGTGTAATGCTTTTTACTGAATAAAGATATTTGAATTCTCTGTGGATCACTTAAATAGTTGTCTCGTGTGGAAATCGAACCCACGATCCCCTGCGCCTCAGTCATCATTTGAGCAATGCTATTTTTTTTAATTATAAACCTATTCGATTTTGCCTTCTTCCTCATTTGTTTCTCCTGCCTTTAAAACCTAGACGGGTACATGTGTATCAAATTGTAAATGATATTGGCTAAGCTTTTTAATACCGGCCGCCTTAGAGTCAATCTTTCTTAGGAATAATCACTTAGGTTTGGAACAAAATATTTGCGGGTCACTTATTCGTCCCGTTTGGGAATCGAACCCACGACGGCAAGCTCAGCAACTGCGCCATTGAGTCAACCTATTTGTGTTTGTTTAAGGTATTTTTTCATTTAAAATTGATAGAATTGGTACACGATGGTTGTTTAATTGTAATTTGGTACGGGGAGAATAGTTGGAATGCAAATCGACAATTTAGCCGCCTAGATTTTGGCTTTACTTGTGTTGCAAAAATAGATAATAGTCGGAAATGACAACACCACCATCAGAAAATAATTGTTTAAAGTTGCGATCTTTTTTGTTTCATCTTTATGCAATTGTATTAACTCCATTTAGACCATTGTTCTACCTACATTTGGATACATTTAATTTTTTTATTAAAAAAAGTTTATTATTAAAAGAGTACAAATACACTAAGTTCTACGAGTCAAACAATTTGTTAAAAATATTTATTTTAACTATATGATGTTGTAATAAGTATCTTAGAAAAATATTAACAATCTCACCTTCGATTGTGGATGAATGAGACTAACGCCGTGCTTGTTTATAGCAATGAGTAAAAGTTCTGGGATAGTTTGGCTCAGTTGTTTGTTTGACCTCGAAGAATGCGGAGCCGAAGGTCGGCCACCGGTAGATGACCTTGAGGAAGGTGATCTTGGCGTCCTCGGGGGTCATGCCAGCGTCTTGGTTGTAAGAGGCCACTATAGCCCTCTTCCAGTCAGCTGAGCTTTGCAGTTTGATCAAATCGGCCGGAACTAATTCGCGAATCATTTGCCTAAAACGTTAGGATATATAGAATTATAATATTATCAATAATTACCATGCGATATTACAAAATGCTGCAGCAGCGAAAATATTCGGACTTAATGCTAACTCAATCTAATAATAAAATCAGAGGGTGGTGCAGAGATAAAAGAAGTAGGTGTAAAAAATAATGAAAAAAAAAACTAAAATAAATACATTAACAACTACAATTTTATTTAAATAAAAAATATTATTATTATTAGTACGTATAATAATTTTATAAAAAATATAAGAAAACGATTAACTAATGATGCAATTGCTGGTATGTGTACTTGTCCGTAATTTAAATTTCCAGGAATGAGAACTTCGTTTTAAAATTTTGGGTTTGTTTAAATTTTTATCACTAGTTTATAGATATTAATTTATTTTAATTAGGGTATAAGTTTATGTTAAAGAAGTCGTGTTCACCTGTAATTGTTGGAACATTTAAGATTTTTTTTATTTTTTAATTAATTTGCACGCTTGTCCTGAGTGTTGGAGAACTTTAAGAAAATAAAGAAATGAATAAATCACTCATGTAATTCGAATGCTTAATTACCCGGCTAATACTCGGGCCTTTAATCGAGTGCTTGATTAGCCGAGTGGCCTCAAATTTTAAGGGTCGGATTTAGGGAAGGCAACCGTGGAACAGCCAACAAACGAGGGGCACCCACAATAGATATTTCGGAAAAAAATTCAAATTCAGACTAGCAAACAATAGTAAACAACTTTACCTTTCATATTTTTTTTTTCGTTTTACTTTTACCTACAGTACTTTGTACAAACATGATTAAATTAAATATTAACAGAAATCAATAGAAAATAATTTGGGGGCAAGGGGCCTCCACGCTTTTGTTGCGTCGAGGCCTCCGGAATTCTAAATCTGGCCCTGGTCATAGTTTGTTATCGCGAGGCCACTCACGGTATGGCCTGCAGCTCCTGCTTGTTGTCGCCGAAGCGGGCGCGGTAGGCGAGCGCGGCGAGTCGGGCCGCCTCCTCGCGCCCGCAGCGGTGGTAGCCGCGCAGCAGCTTGGGCAGCTCCTGGTGGAAGTGGAAGATCACGTCCGCCGCCCGGTCCTTGCCCGGCACCGTGTTCGTCCACAGCTTCTTCATGAAGAACACCTGCCAAAGAGGATTCCCATTTCAAAAGTGTTTTGTCTTGACGTGGCTCTCTGCTATACCAATTTGGGCGTTTAATTTCGACGGTGTCATAACGCCGCGCATATCGTGATATGATGGGCAGTTCGGATTTTCACGCGCGAAATTCAAACAAAGCACGAGAATATCAAAGTTCTGTGCGTGTTATTTTTTCTTTACCGATCTATATAAAAAAATAGTATTGTACGGTATTTATTGTATTTTGTGTGGAAGAGGTTGGGTAATAAGTACCAACGACCACTGCGACTTAGAAGATCTCTTGTAGTCTTCCCTTCGAAAACATTGCCCTCTTACTGTAGGATAACATAGCCATATGATGTAAGAACGTTGTTTTACAAGAAAATTATCAGTGGATCACACAAGCAGTTGGTCTTGTGTTGAAATCGAACCCATGAGCCCCGGCGCCGAAGACAATTCCTTGGCAACTGCGCCACGGAGTCATCTTACAACTTACATTTAGCATGTAAAGCGCATATTTACCTGGTATGTAAACTGCGGTGTGATGCCGTCGCGCGTGGGCCGCGCTTTCTTAATCCAGTCGGTTAAATGCCGCACGAAGTCAAAGAAAAAGTCACCCTCTGGCACCGATATCACCTTATCAGCTATCTTAACGAACAAACTAAAGCCCTCGCTAGATCTGAGATTCAGCCTCTGTGCTATATTCTGACAAAAGTCTTTCGCCCTCGTGGACGAGTCCACCTCGAACGCCTCGTCCGTGTCGTCCGGGAAGTACACTTTGTGGAATATCTGCGTCGTCTTGTGCTGGATCGCCTCCACCTCCACCTGATGCGGGGGGTACTTCCTCTGGCCATTGCGTAACGTCTTCTGGAGTCTTTGAAGCGAGTCCTGCGCTATCGGATACCTTCTGGTCCGCAAGAACAGCGTCAACTCTCTCAATAATCCCTGACTGCACGCAAACAGGCCCGTTGCCAGCCACATAAGTTCCCATCCCCTCTCCTCGGACATTCTGTTCCGGTTGTCGGTCAGCTGCTTCATGACCTGACAGTAGATCTCGTCTCGCAGAATTTCATGTTTCAAGGGACCGTCGAAAATGTGATCCGTGTACTCGTTGCCGATACGAGGACGTTTTGACGGCAAATCACCCATGTATTTGAGTATAGCTGTGAATGCGAAGCACGCCTCTTCGGCCAATTCTTCCTTAGCTTGAAGTTTCTTCAATAGAGGCAGTTTTATAGGCTCTCGAGAATGTCTCCATAATTCTTCAGATCCACCCCTCTTGGCTGTTGACAGCGTGAGCGCTTTAGACACGGTGCGTTTTGGTGGTAGCCTGAAGTGGTCTAGCGCGTATTCCAACAGCGTGTGTGGCTTATCCCTCGTCTCAGTTCCGTTAAATGTGCTAGTAGGCACTCGACGGCCGTGCTGGGCCCCTTCTTGACAAAATAATGCTAAGATGTCTGGCGGCGGTTTGGTTAATGCCGGCAGTACGTACACCGTTTCTGCGGGAAAATCGCCCCTCTCCATTGTCCTTTCACAGCGGCCTATGCACCAGCCATTGTTTAGCACAGACTCGCCCGTACTGTCCTCTTCCAATACAATAAGATCCCCTTTTTGGAAAGTCAGAAAACTTGAGCCTTCACCAGGCGCTTTGTAGTCCTGCAAGGCTATTACATACTTCGAACGCTTCTTCAGCCCCTCCAGGAAGTATACGACTAAATCCCTAATATCTTCGGCGTTTGGACTTTGGAACGTGAACTCTTCACCGCGCACCGTGGACAGACTGAATGTTTGTGTGAAAACCTTATTTGTCTTCTGACTCGATACTGTTGTTATCTCTGGGAACGATAGTTCTAACAGCACCTGCTCTTGATCGTCGACCACATACACTCCAGTCCAGTTCACTGCAATAATCACGTCGTTTTTCGGCAAGTTGGGCCCCGAATTCCTGTACGCTTCGTAGAATCTAGAGAATAGTAACGGCCACTTAAATTTCGCATAGCTCACTACATCTTCCTTCACTCTGTAGGCCGGAACTTTCTCTTTAACATAGTAGCTCTTTTTGTACGCCTGTACGACCAAGGCACCCCACCGGTCCACCGCTTTTTCGACACCAGTTAAGCAATAATCGGGAATGTAATTAGGCAGTAAAGTGAACAAGCGTTCCGTATTCATATCCTGGCCGTATTCAATATAATACTGTTGAGCTGCTATCATAGCAAGGTCTTCCTCTTTGTCACATCTGTACTCGCCAAATTTTACACCCCTCACAACTTGTTGATAAATTAAGTTTGTAGCTACTTGATCCTCGGTCGGATCGTGCCACGGTGCGAAAATCTCTTTCCTGAAGAATAACCTCCAGGGTGCGTTCCTTTCTTGCGCCCCCTGCTCTTTGGCATATTGCTCGCACTGTGATATTGCATCCATCACGTGATCTCCACCGCTACCTAAAGAACTGACTTTGTCGAAAAGAGCAATGTACAGCGAGAAACCAAATTGATCTCGTAGCCCGATCTTATCAGACAATTGATTGCATAGCTCCCTAGCTGTGGTAGCCGAATCCGCTAGTAACGTCTTCGTGTTGCCGTCCATGAAAGTGATTGGTAGCATTATAGGTTTCTTCGACTTTGTCGCTTGGAGCTCCAACCAGGAAGGTGGTTGGTTTCTAGTTCCGTTATTAAAGGTTCTCTTTAAGCGGTCTTCACAATACGGTGCGTAACCTGGTGGTCCTTCTCTGATAAACGCTCTTAAATAATTGACGAACTTCTCGCTGGGTGCAAAGCAACCGACGCACAGAGACAGCAGGATCCATCCACGTGCATGGGAAGACTTGGAGGGGTTGTTCGTCAACTGTTTGCATATTTGGCAGTATATTTCGTCCCGTAGCTCCGCGCGCAGTATGCCGTGCCCGATGATGAAGTGGAGCTTCTCCAAATTCGAAGTCGGCCGCGATTCCAGCCAAGATTGGTAACTGTCCGCTGTGTACTCCTCGTCCTACAAAACGTTAAATAAAAATGTGAGGATTGTCTCCAATTTTCAAATAAAAAAAATGGTTCATTAGGTAATTGTACCTGTAGTTTTCTCCTAACATCTTCGCCAAGTTTGTTCTTCCTCTTCAAAGTTAACGAGACCAGCTTGTGTCTTATCGATCTTGGTTTCTGTTTATTCAAATATGCATCAGGATCTACGCCCATCATTTGAGCCTCCTGAAACTCTTTGGAGCGGATGAAGTTCCTGCCTAGGGTGGCTGTAACCTTTGACATGACTGAAGTGTTGTCCCTCTCCATAGTTTGGTAGCGTGGTTCGGGGAGGTCCCCAGTGAACCGCAATATGGTCACCCACAGTGCTTGAGCGGCCTGAAATCATCAGACATGAAGACATAAATATACGATCTGGATGTTGTTAATAAAAAAGTAAAACAATAAACACCGGTCAACCCTTAAATGTCCCACTGCTGGGCAGAGGCCTCCTCTGTACAGAGGGTATTAGGGCATAGTCCACCACGCGGATTGGCGGACGTCACATTCCTTCTAAATATTTTTTTTGAAGGTATATAAGTAAGTGCATAATAAATCAGCACTTAAAATTAACAATTTAATTGGTGCCGGCACCGGAGATCGAACCCAGGTTGCTCCAGTATATTGCTTTAAAAGCGAGCGCCCAGACAGCGAGCTATCACGGCTCCGGTGTTATTAGCTATTAATTGGCATTAGTTTTGAAGATAATAACACTTACCAGTTGATCACCTTGCGTGTGCAAAGGAAGCAGTGGATGTTTCAACGGCTTTCTCGAATATTGATGAGTGACATTCCCTTGAAAGTACGTTGCGGCGAATTTTTGGAATTTGAATTCTGATAGGTCCTCCTCGTCTTCGGACGTGGTTTGCATTGGAGTCACCATCTATAAAGATCAAAGAAATCTTTTTTATCTCAAGAGTTACACATAATCACCACACATTAATCTAACGTTTGACATGTTAAGTTTAAGTTCAAAAATAAATAATTTTTATCGATTTTTTTTCGGATCAAAAAGTCATATAATCAAACGGTATCGAAATTACGATTGAAATGTTACAATTGTAATGACAATTTGGATTTTAATAAATAAGGCAACCTTTAAATTTTAAATTGCGCTTAAGAAAAATGCTATGAATATTAAGTACCTCCTGTTGATCAGCTCTCGGTTGAGGCAAATCGCTGAACACTGACGTGTCTTTAGGAGCTGGCGCCTCGCTGCTGGAGTCTGGGAGGAAGTCGAACATGGCCTCCACTAGCTTGCTGTCATCTACCGGCTCGTCTTGCTTACGCGCCGCCTCTTGGAGCAGTGTTCTCTTCGCCTCCATCTGGCGTTTCTCCTCTAATGCCAATTCCGCCTCACGCCTCTCCAACTCATACATGCGCTCCTGGTAAAATTGAAAAAATCTCATTCAACTATCACTCAGATTAAATACTGATGTATAGTAATTAAACTGATTAAACAAAATTGAATATCAACTGGACTATATTCTAATTTAATTTTAGTCAGTACTTGCTAATCTGAGTAACTGTCTAAATATACTCTGCTGCATCTATTAAGACTATAAAATCAAGAATCCTATTGATTTCATGAGACAATATTTTCATAGACATTTCTTTTAAATTTGTCAAACCGTAATGTACGACATAAAAAACAGGTAATGGTGCAAGCGACGGTACGCAATACCAAAACACAATCCTTGCACAAACATGAGCTATTAAGTTGTTTATCGATTGCATCGGCCAGCTGTTACAGAAAATACCTATTAATTATGAGACAACATAGAACCATTCAAAGAACACGAACGGGTATTGTACACAGAGATTTTTCGTCCGTTAATGCAAGGCAACCGAGAAGTTCAATCACTAGACAAAATAAAAACATTTTTCGCTCGCGATATCGTATCACGTCATTTAAAAAACTAACACAGTAACCCAACTCCAAGCCCACATCGCAGATGCACTTTGTCCAAACGCTCATTTTCACTCGGACCTCTACAACGACCGAACTTGTACACACTCCACATTGCATCTGAATTCAGCTGAACGCTCGCAAAGGCGCCGCGCTCGAATATATCACTAGCTACCGGACCGAGACCTGTGGGTTCGAGTCTCGTTACACAAGTTGCGACGCTTCAATGCACCGCACACGGCACAGATCTCTGAACTACAATCTTCAGTGTAATCAAGCCGTAACAAAAGTTTACGTGGCTGGTTAAAACGCAAACAGTTTCATAACGCGCAAACGTCAATTAGTTTTTCTTCTCGTGCATGATCCTCACCGCACTGCTATGATATAATGCATTGACTATATATATCAAATACTCGACCTTTCTTTGAATTATTTTCACGATCAAACTTGAAAATGTCATGATGTATTGAGCAAAGTGCATTTTGAATTGAAAATAACATACACTACAACGCACTCCAAACAGGCAAACGGTTAAAATGTTTCAGAATTTTCTGCATATCGATAAAATTGCGTGTAGTCTACTGAAACGCAACCATAGAGTAATCAGTTTTATTTGTCTTTCGATTAAATCTATTTAGATTGCGGCGAAATCTGTTCCTTTGATAATGTAAGCTCTTATCCTAAGTATCTTTTAAATCAATGTCGATAGCTTAACGAAAAAAATTGATTGAGGATCGATAATCATCTGTAAAATAGATGTTTAGTAAAAGTTTATTGCAAAATACTCTTATTACATTTCCATACAGGTGATATTTGCTTCATTAAAATTAAAGTATTACATCGAAAATAATGTTATATAGGCCTAGATCATGTTAAGGTTCAGTTTAAATTTAATATCTGTGTAAACATATATTTTTATAATCCAAACAATCTGAACGTTATATTTGACTTATAATATAAAATCTTCAATATACATGGAACGATAAATTTTGCTTGTAATATACAAGTACATTACATTTTTATAATATTGTAATCCGATTATTGGTTGGATATAATATTAATGTAGTATTTTATATGATTTCAGACATAAATAAATATTGATTGTAATTAAAAGAAACAAATAGGAGGACACATTTAATCCTTGCTTACAACAAAAATGTAGATAATAAATATATCCTATTTTAGACCTTTAACCTTCTTCTTAGGAAATCCATAACATTTCAAATATTTTGTTTTCTATATATTAAATTATAATTTATATACAAATTAATACAGATACCATTGTTTGGTAAAAATAAAAAAAAGGATGCCTAGCAATGTGTGACGCCTTAATTTCACTGACCGGACGGATTTCAAATCTTGACCGCTGAATTCGTGGACGAACAGCACCAAATTCAGTTACATATCGCAAACGGTCAATAGATTTCTCTCAGTCCAAGAGACTCACCCTGTAGTTCTGCTCGGCGATCTCTTTGGCGCGCGTGTTGCCCTGGTGCTGCAGTCGTTGCTCCTCCTGCCTCCTCAGCCGCAGCGCTTCGTTGTGCGCGATGGTCTCTTGCTTCAGCCGCCTGTAGCGCCGCATCGCGATGAGCCGCCGCACGTGGCTTTGGATCTTCACTATCGCCCACATCTTGTGGCCGTACGAGCGACGCACTAGATAGCCACGCGCCGCCGCCTGGATACAAGTCAGACAGTTTTAGTGTTTATGCTTTCCTATTATCATTTTCGCCCCTGAAAGTCAAGCCTCAAAGGTTACTGCGAAAGCTTAAACATCAAAGGTTATTTTAAATTTAAGATTTTTAAATACTTGGTATCCAACGGTCCAGATGTTTAAAAATGTACTTTAATTTTGTAAAATACTTCATTAATTCCTATAATAAGTAATCTGTATATCTAAGCTCTTATAAGATTAATGTTCTTTAAACCGAAGCTCTTTAAGCCTAACTTAAGTGTCGGAAAAATGTTCAAATAAAACTCACCTGTAGCGAGACTATATGTCCACGCAAATGTCTGAAACGATGAGCCAAAACCCTCGCGCGGATCAGCGCCTGTAGCCGGGCGTATCCCACCCTCATCTTGTTGTAACGGATCCTTTGCAACTTGCCCCGCCAATGGCGTTGGATCAGTATCGCCGCCGCTCTCATCTTTAAGAAACGTCTCCTGTATACCCAGCCGCGGATCGACCGCTGCAGTATCAATATCTTCCTGGTAAGCACTCTATCCCTTTCTTGCTCCAGGAAAAGGTCGTGAGCGTCCTTCAAAAAGACTTTGGTATGGCCCAATTGGTAATCGGATTTGCCGAGAACGGTAGCGCAAATCTTCGCCGTCGCCGCCCGGCAGTCGGTCTTGTGTGCGGGTGGCACACCGGATATTAAAAACCTGTAACGCTCGACGAACTCCTTGAAACTGTGTCTGATAGGGTATCCCGCTCTCCTTATCCGGATGGTTTCCATCATCCCCGAATACCTCAATTGTCTGCAGCAAAGTCCACGGTCGAACATCATCGGTTTCTTGAACTCGTTCGGTTTAATGCATCGAATGAAGAACGGCTGGCACGTGCCCAGCGTTCGCATCAGCAAGTCCAGCGACTTCTTGAATTGAGTGGAAAGCGTTGGAGCCCTTTTACGGGTTTCCGAGCCCATGATAATGTCCTCCTGGAAGATTTGCTTCAGGAATTTATTCGTCGATATGTGAATCAGCTGAAGCAAATCAGCGCTGAACGTGTCACGGTTCTTCTCCAGGAATCCACGGGTGTCATAGAAAACGATTCCGGCGAAATGGTTCAGACCGAAACTGGTGTTTATGTCCGATTTAGGTTTCAGATAGTTTCTGTGAAGACCGTGGGTTTTATGCAACTTCGCTAGCATGGTTTGATCGGTGCCTTTTGGAAATTTGGACTCCTCATCAATTAGCGCCATGATGTTCAGCTGTTTCAATGCGATCAGGTCCAAAGCATCTTGATTGTCGACGAACTCTATGTGCTGCCAGTTTATGCCCTCGTGGTTATATTCCTCTTGTTCCAATTTGAATATGTGTCGGACGAAGAACTGCTGCAGGTTCTCGTTGGCGAAGTTGATGCAGAACTGTTCGAAGCTGTTGTGATCGAAATTTTCGAAACCGAATATGTCGAGTACGCCGATCGCCGTTCGCGTCGTGCATTTCGGTTTGTAAATTGCGGCGTTGATCTTCTTCACGATGGTGACGAAGAGACGGCCATAGATTCCCTTGACGAACGCGTCCCTTATATCGACAGATTGGTTTTTGCTAAGCGTCGACACCACGGTCTCACCGTGCGCAAAGAGCGTCTTCCTCGTGAGCGCGTCGATAAGTGATTGTGTCGGTACACCTAACAGATTTGCCACTCTTTTCACGTTCGCTTGCTCTATAATTTCTGTAGCGTCCAAATTATCTACGACTGTTGCCTCGTACTTAATGTTGCCGCAGTGAAGTACTGCCGCTAGTAGCTTTAATATTTCCCAAATCTCAGGCTCCGTAAACAGCAGAACTTTCATAGCGGACCGGATGTCAGCGAACTCGGCGGCGTCGTCTCTCCCTTCACAAGTATAACTGTCGCCCTAGAAATTTATAATACATTGAATATATATTAAAAATTATGAGAATTATAATTTAATTATGCACTGTTGACTTACTCCTGATAAATATCTATATTCTTTAGGTTCTCCTAACTCCAGCTTTTTCTTCTCATCTTTCGAAAGTCCAGCTAACAAACAATAAAACACATGATAATTTCGTTCTTCCATACTTTGCGATACAATCCTAGATTTCTCCAACAAGTACTGTTCTATTTTAGCGCCTTCGATGACTCCGCTGCTATTGAAGTGAATATCGATGTATTTTCCGAATCTCGAAGAATTGTCATTTCTTACTGTTTTAGCGTTACCAAACGCTTCCAATATCGGATTTGCTTCTAAGATCTGTAACAGTTAATTTACATATCGTATCTTGTTCGCAACATTTATCAACATTAAATTATGTTTATTATGCACTGGAATGCATTTTTATCGGCTTACGAACATAATCATATTTTAGATACAATACAAATGACGTTATCACAAGTCATCAAAGTATGATCTTTTATAATATGTAACATGATAAATATAAATTAAGAACTAATTCTTATTACATGTTAAACTATTATTATTTTATTAAGGACACTGACTTGATTCGTAGTTTGTTCTAGAAATGTTTTTAATTTATTTTAATGAAGCAAACATAACTTTTTACAAATTAATACAATTCTTTGAAAACATATCATTAATGAAACGATTCTACTCTTAGACGTGACCAAATTTTTAATAGCCTTAGTAAGCACATTTACTTCACTAGGCCTTTGGATGTTGATTAAGAAGTTCTACCAACTTTGGAAAAAAATGTCTTTCATGTTTTTAATTATAAAACCCATTTCTGTGACATAAATAAAACTCACTAACACACTAACATGTATGATGGAAAAAGTTTATGCGTGAATATATTTGCTTTTGAATTACGCTTTATAATTAATTGTGTGTGGGTGCGTGCGTGTGTATGTGTGTGTAATGTGTTAATAGCCAATCAACGGACCTGTTGCTCTATCCACGAATGTTTCCCGCTGATCGCGGCCAAGTACTGAAGTATGAGCTTCGTGGACTCGGTCTTGCCGGCGCCCGACTCCCCGCTGATGACGATGCATTGGTCCTGGCTGTAGCGACGCATGTGAGCGTACGCGTTGTCCCCGATCGCGAATATGTGCGGCGGCAGCTCGCCGATCTTCCTCTCTTTGTATAGCTTTATTTGGTCTGCTGTGTATATCGGTAGTATTTGGTATGGATTCACCGCAACCAATATGGAACCCGTGTATGTCTGAAATGGAATTGTAAAATGATTTCTGTTACTCCAAATTTTCGAAGTAAAAAGTATGGCAGTCTCAATTCCCGTCGAAACCCAGTGACTGACTGTTCACTTTTATTCGCATGCAAATTGAGTTCTATCCCCGGCGCCAGCACCAATTCTTCCAATTTTAAGTACTATTCCACCATGTCCTTCTCATCGAAGTTAAAGATGTTGTAGAAATCTGCATATCTAACCTAGACATCATATTTTAAAGTCAAACATTGCTGAATATTTCTAATAAAAGACAGATAAAGCAAACTCTTCGCGAGCACTTCGACAGGATTTGTGCAGAGTCTTCTTACACTTGCCTTCATCCCACTTAGGTGGAGTCAGCAAACCACGTGAATCATGTTGTTAGAATATTTTGGAAACTTTCAATACCGGTCACACAAGTATAGTAAGCCTACAGTCAACCCAAGTTGACTTTCTACACGCGTCGATTGCTCGAAATAATAAGTATACGTTGGAAAAAACGTACCCTTCCTAAAAATTTTATACTTTTACCTATCATTTAATCTTCTTTCTCCTAGCATACGACGAAAACGTGATTATGTTGGCAATGATATTGGCTAAGCCTTTTACTCCTCCTCAGGAATAACATCCAGATCCGGAACACTTGTTCGTGGGCCATAATCACTTATCCCGAGCGGGGATCGAACCCGACCGCGTCGCCGAAGCCACGCTTAGCAACCGCGCCAGCCAGTGCCGAGCGCTCCGCATCCCAGCGCGTAATACTCACATATATGAGGTTCTCGTTGTAGCGTATGAGCAGGTTCCTCAGGATGCCCGCCTCGTGGAGGTCGCCGAGCGAGATCATGTCCTCGACGCCGTGCACCGAGGTCGCGTGCATCGCCTTGATGCGGCGCTCCGGCGGCAGCCATTGCTCGTGGCCGTCGTCGTCCCGCACCCTGATCCTGCGGCCCTCCGCGGCGAGCACCCGCGCCCCTATCGCCACGTCGAACTCCCGACCCGACACCGGCTCGATCCATATGTAGTCGCCCTGGAATGGAAGTCGTGTCGAGGTCACATTCGATTTGGGCTTTCCGTGTGCTGGAAGACGGTAGCCTAGTATTTGTGTTGCGCTGGAATTGAAGGTCGCTTCAAGGTCAAAGCTACATTCGATGCAAGTCGATTCAGGTCAATGCTACATTCGATTTGGGCTTCCAGTGTGCTCGAAGACGGTAGCTCAGTCTTTTTGTCGCGTTGGAATTGGAGGTCGGTTCAAGGTTGAAGAAAGGCTATATTCGATTCGGGCTCTCAATGCGCTCGAAGCACAAATCCCCGTTTTTTTTGCTGCATCTTGTACAAGAGCGCCGGTTCTTATATTGTTCAAATGATGAACTACCCAGTAAAGGTAGTTAATTTTCATCATTACATTTAAGTTTCCAGAGACCTAGATCCCAAAGCAATTTATACAAAATACTTTATGATCCAGAGCCATGGCTAAATGTCAAGTACCTAGTTTGGAATCTGTTTTCAAGGCCTTTGAAGGTTGTGAAATCTATTCAGAATTTAGTGGAAAATTACCTACTTCTCCATGTCCAACACGATGGAATTCATATTATAATTGCATTCAAGATCTTACTCAAGCAGACATCCTGTAAATAAAAAACTTGAATAAAACTGTAAAGAAACTTCAATTTTCAGTTTATACAAATTCTCAATGATCCTGATTGACATGACCTATTGCTGTAGCACCAAAAGTTTAGAAGGCGATAAAGATATTTTTAATACGAATGTCGCATGCCAGAACTAATGTGAATACAAAAAGAATTAAGCTTTGAAATGGATAACCAAACGTTGAAATGGATTTTGTATTTTGATTTGAAATAATAAAAATACCAAGCATTTGCATTTAGAATTTAATAAACTATTTTAAAAATGTTTGATCTTTCAACTTATATCTTTTAAATTATAACAGGGTAAAATTAATGTAGTTCGAATCTGAATATGTTTTAACATTATGTCAAATGTAATTGTAATGTTAATGTAATTATGTCAAATCTTTTTTATGACTTCAACTGTCTGCCAATAATAACTAATAATAATAAATATATATATATATATATATATATATATATATATATATATATATAATAATCTGCCAATAATAGCTAACTATTAAACGATAAAGCTCAATATGAAAAAAATGTCATAACAATATTTTACATCTAATACGTTACGTACAGGAAGCCAATCACAACTATTTATTAAGTTATTTTTTATTGTATGTACAGAAATATAAAAATGAATTCAATACGTGGCTTCTACGAACAAGTTCATTACAACAGATTAAAGAGACATCGTTAGAGAGACTTGTCAAATAATTAATGAAACATTATTTTATCATAATAGTTAATATTTCAGGACAAATTGTTGTTATTTGGCAAACTAAGCAAAACATGTACATGTCGTACTACGTATCCGATAAACATCAAAATATATTTTTTTATTTATATCAATACCCAAACACTAGAGAAACACTATCTTTATCACACAATAGTTCCAGTAGTTAGGATCGAACCCAACCCTCCGGCGTAAGAGACACGGTCACTTTCCACTTCGTCAATCGGGTCATGAATTGAAAGTCGTGAATTATTCACGTGATTATTCACGCCTTATTCACGTGACTGTTGAACGCACTGAGGATAATTATCTTGATCTTGGCGAAAGCAACGATTCGCGCCGAATGCTGATTAGCGAGCGCGTTCCTAGACTGTTAACAGACTATTTTAGCTCAAGCCAGACTTTTCGAGTCCTAGTTTTTTTAAACCAAACTGGCCAGTGCTAGACTACCACCTGATGGTAATTAGTCTAGTTGCTATAAGTTGTATACAGTCTGATTCAATAAAATCCTTTTCACTGTTGCCTAGAAGGCAATCATCAAGGACGGGAAAACTGATGCTGACAAATTGTTTTAATGTTTTGCCGTATACATACATTTTACGCAAAATAAGGCGAACCTGATTGTTCACTCGCGGTGCGTCTATACCGAAAGTGTGGAGTCCAGAAAAGCGTCTAGTTGTCTAATAATGGAAGGAGGAAGATGTTAAAATATGTAACTTCTAAGCACACTCGCCGAAATGTGGCCTGTGAAACACTTGCTCATCTGCGAATGTGTTCGAGGTAGGGAAAATACATTTCCGCCTAAATCCAGAGCTCACACAGCGTGCACACTAATGGACTGGAATTTTATATAGAGATCGAATTATTCCCGTATGTAACTTATAAAACACCGGCTGCTGATTGGACTCACTAAGGCTATTAATGAAGAGGGCAAATATGAACTCCGTGATATGGCTCCGTTTTGGTTAATGGACACTCTGAACCTTTTTTGGTGTCAAATCTATTAAGATTTGTATGTCTTACTGTAGAGAACTGTCTTGTTATCTGCTGACATCGGGAATCAACAGGTCCTCCATATTTACAGAATGCTTTGGAAGTACTGACCTACAACACGCAACAGTCCATATTTGTCCCACTACCGGCAGTGGTCTCCTTTATTATATTTTGGACATACTCACTCATCATTTTTAAATACCATCTATACCGCCACCAGGAATTGAATTCAGATTGTTCTAGTGTTCTAAATTAAGACCATGCGTCCGGAAACTGAACTAATCAAAATTACAATTACACAAGTAACTTTGATATTCTTGGGATTTTATATTTGGTATTTGTACAATTTACAGTTTTTAGTAAAATTAATGTCCAATATTCAATCTCCAATATATAACCAACATCCTTAATAACCTCAAAACTATATGGTAGTAACTACGATATAGTGACGAGTGATGGCTAGAATCTGTTGAAATGAAAGAAGGTTGATGCAGCTGATGCAGTCATTACCTTAAGGCACTGTTATGGTATAGTATATTAGCATATATATATTATGTACATGGTGTAGTATCTACACCATGTACATAATATATAAAGAAATGATGTATATGAATAACTTTATGAATAAAAGTATAAAATACAAACGCAAAAGTTTTACTTACTTCAAGTATTGGATTGATTTCTTTATTTGAGGTTAAAGTGAAGCAATTATTATTTTAAGACTTGTTATTAAAATCACTCAAAATTACTTGATATATAATTAGAAATACATTTATTTTCCATTTTATCCAATTGTGATCCAACTCTTTTTTATAGCTAAAGAATAAAACGAAACATTTTTTCCGCAACCATGTTACAAAGCGCTCCAATGCTCACAGTTATTTATCTTTGCTAAATTTTTTAAACTAAACTTTTACGTACCTCAATAGAAAACATAGGATCACCCTGTCACAACAAACATGCCAGCAATTTCCAAAGTAACAGTTTTCTTTTAAAATAACAATATAACTAATAGAAGTTGAATATTCATGAGAAGTGCTCGTACTAGTATTTGAATGGGATATATCGATAACTTTATCAGTACAAAAATTGACTACGTCTGTCGGTGGTCGAGGTCGTTTGTTATTAATTGGCAGTTCGTTATCTCTATTCATATATCTCGTGCAATGTTAGTTAATAATCGAAAACTCCCAAGTTAGAAGGCGTACTTCGCCTCGGCGTATTGTTCAAATATTTGACCGGTCGGTGAAAGTAGGATGTTCAAACGGGCTACAAATATCAAGATATTGGATATGTTACCTTGACTATACATATTTATGTGCAGTTGACTGACGGAGATTGTACGTATGCGGAAGAAGTTTAAATTAATATTTTCTGTTTTTTTTTTTCTGTTCTTGCTGTGAAACCATATATTTTAAATTATTTAGAATTAATTAATATATTTTGAATCTATTATACTATACACCGGGGTTTACGATAAATGTTTTTTACAAACTTTTATAGTGACAATTTAAAATTTCATGTAAAACAACGTCATTATGAACTGGATTCACACTCTCATATAAAACAAAGAAATGTAACAGTCTATAGGTACAGCGTGTCGTTACAACTTCTTCGTGTCGTCTCTCCTTCTAACAGTATGTTTAAATTCATTCAACCCATTCATATGCTTTGTGACCTTTACAACTGAACTTAACGTTAGGGTTTTATACGTAAGCATGTTCTAAAATTGTTTGTTTGGGAAAATGTAATAACTTGGTGAATATTGATGTTTAAAAAATGTAAATGTTTAATACAATTTTAAAAAAAAGTTATCCTCTATATGTGTGTTCATTTATTGTCGCCGTTGTAACGACACACTGTATATGTTCCACTGCCGTGCAAAGGCCTCCTCTGCGGAACGGAACTCTCTCTAAGACGGAGGGCTAATGCCACCCGAATTAGACGCTACTCGCAACTTCGGTTGCAATTTAAATCTTTGTGCAAGCAGTGCAGTAGTTTAGTGTTAGTGTTGTGCTCGTAGGCAGGTTCCTGTTCTGTAAGTAGAATTCTATACACACTTCTCGCCTCAGAGGCGGCATTGTTTTTATCTAATAACTATGTGCTTGTTGCGATAGGCGACAGCTAGGTACCCATCCTAGCGCACCTAAAGCGCAGGCGGATTAGTTGTTAGTTTTAGGCACACACCTCCCTGCCGCAAGGTGGGGAGGCCTATTTAGTGACTTACACGCCGGCGGGGCGCAAGCCCCAAAGGCTCAAGCGCTCGAAATGGGTTCCCTCCTAGAGGAATTCCTTCGCCAACGATGTCCCGAAGTGTGGGCAAACTTTCTCGCGTTCGCGAAAGAAAAATGTTTAGTCGTCGAGTTCGCCAGCGACATCCCGGCTTCACCGGCAGTCGCCTCGCCGTCATCTCCGGCGCTCTCAGCGCCCGTTAATGCGTCGCCTTCAGCGACACAAGAAAAGCCCGTCGCGTCGACCTCCGCCGCCGCGATCGTACCCATCGCGCCTTCCGCGCATCCCATCTCGGCCCCCTTCCGCGCCGTCGTTCCCGACTCACAATCGGACGGCGGATCGGACATGGAGGTCGAAACGACCCCCGCTGAAAACGCGAACGTCGACGGCTTCACCGTCATAAAGTCGCGTAAGAAGGGCAAAAAACGC